ATATCATCTACCAGATGTAACCCAATGGCAATATTTACAGCTACAACATTTGTTAACAACAGTTTGGACCAGCAACATTTTCAGCTTCTGAGACACCCGAGATACCAAAACAACTTGTTAAATCCTTTAAAACTAAAAAAACTACTATTAGCTTTTATAGATATTTGTTATCAATAAATCAATTTGACACACAAATGTTGAGAGATGAGTGGAATAAAAAATTAGAGGTTTCTATATTGCTTAGACAACACAAGAGTGTTTTAACTTCTATAGCAAGAGTGTCAATGGACCTTAAACTATGGCTTATAAAACAAAAAATAATATTTAGAATATATTGGACTCTATAATGTTTGTACAGAAAAGGACTAAGACAGCATTTTGTTGGAGAAATAACAAAGATAATGCTTCTTTAAAACATGTTTTTACAATGTCCTATGCTTATCAAGTTTTGGGAGAGAGTGGACAATATAAATGTGACAGTGTGACAAAAGCTAAAATTTTCAAAGGATCATATTCCCTTGAATTATACACCTAGTACATGGATTTGACAATGGGACAATGTAAATGGACTCTCCATGCTCTTACTATGGCCAAAAGATTGATATTGCAACATTGGAAAGATAAATGCATGGCCCCATTTATTCAATGGATTGAAGACCTGATTGCACTTGCCACCTATCAGCAGACCGCTTATAGATGTAGACTTTGTATGAACAAATATAATGAAATATGGGACTCATTTATACAAAATACAGTAAGTTAGGAAAAAGCACGATGGTTATATAATTGCATTAGAAATAAACACATATACTCGCATATTTGCATTAGATAAAAATATATGGAATTGTAACTTTACTGTTGTAATGACATTATATTTTATATTTTTATTTTTTCTGTTGTATTTTTCCACTTATTTTAAAGCACTTGTTATGTAAGTTTTTTTTATAATGTATGTATCTTTGTGTTTTATTCCTTTTTTGTTATTACTAAAAAAATAATAAAAAAACAACTGGCACATTAATACAACCTGAAATTCAGAACTGCCTTATTATTTTGACTCTTACAAATTCTTGAATGTTATCCTTGGCCTTTTACTATTCATTGCATTTCTAAGCCAGTTGTTTAGTACATTTTCTCAATTGGAATCATTTGAAATAGAAAATTCAGCTGTGGTAAAATATTCTAACCACTGCAGTTCTTCCTAACCAAGAGAACTTTAATGTCTTCCATCCAGAACAATGGTTCTCAACCTCTTCTATGATCCACACTCCTAAGAAATGTTTGATTAATGTTCACACCCCCTACAAAAGTAATATCACATCTGAAGATGAAGAAATCTAATTTCTAATGTTCTAATTCTAATTGAATTTTAAAAAATAAACTTTTGACTCAGTGCATAAAATTGTCGCACCCCCTGAAATTCCATCTCAGGTTGGGCACCCCAGGTTGGAAACCCCTGATCTAGAAGTATCTGTTATGTTTCCAAGTTGGCAAATAATTGTTCTTATTGTTTTTTGTCAAAAAAACAAAACAAAACAAAAAAACTAGGCCAGCACTCCTAGCTGGTAGTTGGCAATTACCAGCAGAAAACAAGCCAGCTGGGCCGCCTGGTCTGTTTTTTGATGGTAAGCAAGGAACAAGGTGAGCTTTTGTGACATTCCAGCATGTTCACTACATCACCGCACAAGCCCTGTCCATAACCTTTCCTGCTTTGTTGCAGATAGCCCTGTTCTAGCCCCGACCTACCTAACGTGAATTTAATCCAAGCATCAGGCTGAGGTTTAAAAAAAAAAAAAAAACTCGTAATGTTCCTTTGCAAGAGAAGGAATAAAAAGCCATTTTCTGTAGCACTTTCTCCGGGGGTAAAGTGATAAACTGTAGATTTTTCAAGGATAAACTTCCAGAGATTCAGGTTCCTTTGCTGCACCTTTCTTCTGATCATCATTTAATAAATTCACGTTAATTAATAAACTAAAGGACCATGTATAACAAATGATATGCATGGACAGCATTTCTATCTTTCTGCTTTCTCCTCCCCAGAACAGGTAACACGCATTAAATCCTTTTCACCTTATCCTCACACTTGTCCTAGTTCAGCTAATACTGAAACTTAATTGTCACAGGTGGAAAAAGTTACATCTGGCTTGCGTCTTGCAGGCAGAGCTCACTTTGCGCCAAAAAGTAACGAACATTTCCTGCAAACATGAACTCCCCCTCCCCTGACGTCGGGGAGTGCCCATGCTCAAGGACAGAGCAATTATTCACGTGAACCAGTTTGGCAGGTGGGCAAGAACTCGGCCTACTTTTCTTTGGCGCTGAGTGAAACCCATGCTTAGCCTTCATAGTCGAAGTAAGGTGGTTGCTCAACCTCTACACAACCTTTCGCAACCATGCCAGATTCCAAGTCATTTCGAAGCACGCCCCGAACTACGGCCAAGTTGTGCAACAGGGCACTGGGATCCTCCAGCGCGGTGAGTGGGGCGCACCCCCCTGCCTTTCTGCGCAGCCCTTCGGAAAACCCTCCCTCGCTCTTCCCCCGCACCAAGCGAGGAGAAGGACATGGGGTTGAGGCCGCAAAGGAGACCTGCTTCCGGATTGGCGAAAGTCCTCCATGTTACGACCTCCATGCGCGCCTCTATTGCGTGCCCGGGGGCAGTTTCCCACCGTCCCAGTTGGAAGGGGGGGGAGATATTTGCACTCTCCGTTTGTCTGAGGGAATCGCCGCCCGGCTTACACTTTTCCGCACACACAATCCTTTAGGAAAGTCGCACCAAGCAGGCTAGGAAGCAGGCGCAACTCTTGCAAAACGCTTTCCCGTTCTCCGGGCGCAGCGGGCGAAAAGGAGCGCGCGCC